CATGGGCCCAGGCTGGATGGTACTTTTCCAGGGCATATGTGATAAAGTTCTGTCACAAGGATCACCAAGAGCCCAACTCCTTCTTTTCAAACAGCCCATCCACTAAACTATTGAGTCCCTCAGTCTGATCTGGCCTCACAATTTATGAAAACACAGGTCCAAAAGAAGAGGCTTATAGGGGCAAACGAGTAAAACCAGTGCATACAATGGGCTAAGTGCAGTGTTTTAAGGAATAATAAGAATTGTGGCAAGTACTGCAGAGGCAAGTGCTCCCTGAAAGGGCCACTGTGACTCAGCTCCAGCCCAGTATGGTGAGATGGGGATGTGGATCTAGGATTGAGGGACTTGATTTTTTTTTTAAGAAATGCAAGAAACCTTGGGACAAACAGTGTACCTCTAAGGGCACAGTTGGCCTGCAGCTGCTCTTGCACCTCTGCCCAGAAGCCAGAGTTGCCAAACTGGGAAAGGTTAACAGCCAGCTGATGCCTTGAGGCTCATTCTACTACGAGCAGGGGGAGCCCCTTTCTCCATAGATCCCAGATAGGCCAGCTCCTCAAGTTGGGAATGTCATTCTTCTTCCTTTCCAGCCTTCACTTAGCTGTTTGTCTCAGCAGACAAAGAAGACTTCCCTTGCTGTCCCTAGGACACAGCCACACCAAGTGCCCGCTGAAGGCGCACGGGGCTCTGCACTCCAGCCAGCTGCTTTGGCAGCAGACAAGACTGGCTGGAGGGAATTGTATTGGCAGTGTCCCTCAGGAGGGGCAGATTCTTTTGGGCATGTGGACACCTTGCTGACAGCTAAATGGAAACAATGTCCAAACCACTGGTCCCTTGATTTGATTCTGCCCAACTGATTATTGTAATTGGATGACAGATATTTCTGTCTCCTTTTCGACTGGTGTTGGAGGGTCGAGTTCTGGCTCATGACTCACACTTCTGGGTAGTTACCTAATAGGGAAGATTATCTCTCTTCACAGGCAGAACCGTTCCTGCCTGTTGGCTGCCTGAAGAATAAATCCAGGCCCAACCAAAGTCAAAAGCCAGGAAATGTCAGAACTTCCTCACATTCCACATTGCATTGTCTACAAAAGTCTTTGAATTTTTCCTTGCTGAGCAATCCCTTCTGAGGGGATTCAGGGGTGATGAAGAAAATAGAAGAGAACCCCTTACAGTGGGGAGAAGGAACAGAGAAAAGAAAAGCAGCCACTGAGAAGTGACCATACTGCTCATTCTGTGGAGCACACAGCAAATAACCTGCAGGAGACAGGATGGTTTTGTTTCCACGGAGCTGCCTATCCTGAAGTTCTTTGAAACATGAGCTGTAAATTCAGAATTTTGTAATGCTGTGGATGGAGCCCTCTTCTGGAGAAAAATTTCAATAGGTATTAAAGCAAGATCAAAACACATCAGATGAAAACACACACGCCCACATGCACACACAACACACACAGACATGCTTCGGACTATTTAGATTATAGGACTGACACCCAAGAGTGAATTGAACCCATACTTTGCCTACTCCTTACATTCCCAAAATAGAAATTATTCAGTCTCCCCAAGCAACTATGTTTGTGGAAGGAAAGAAGGAGCCTAGTGCTCCTGTTTCCTTTAGACAGAACTTTAAGATGAGGCTCAATTTACACAGCCAAATGCTGGTACTCTTACATAGTGCAGTTATTGGGTATGTTCATTTGACAGGCAATTTCACTGTAACACACAGAAGATGCTTCTAGAGAGGGGAACAGACTTCACTTAATCTAACACTCAAGAGCCAAAGATAGGAAATGGAAGATGGGAGGAAGGCAGAGCAGAGAACACTTAGCAGGAGTTCAGAGGCTTGCGACATAGACTATGGGATTGCACGAATCCAGATGAATCCAGATCACATCTGCAGCCCTGGAGTTTTAAAATCTCTTTTGGAAATTGCAAAAAAAAAAAAAAAATTCAGATATATGAACTCTTTAACTTTGGTCACTTTCGCCATTTGCATCTTTTTCCTCGGTGCTCCTGAAATCTAGCAGACCGCCACAGACGAAGCCATAGAATGGGGGGCCTCTAAAACTCTGAGTCATTTCCTCTCCTCAAAAAGGCTCTGCACAGAAACGCTGCTCTTACCACATTACACACGAACTTGCAGCCACTCTGAAAGCCATGGATTGTCATTAAAAATCCTGAAAATCAAGATTCCTACTCCAAGAGAGAACTCCCCACTTTAAATCAAAATCTCAGATTCCATGGAACATTTTCAGGCCCTCCCAAGTGTTTGCTCTCCAACCTGAACCGCTCCCTAAAATCCCAATTCTTGGGGGATTACTCATGCATTGTTGAAACTTTGGAATAGTGACAAGGGCTCCCCAACGGGTGCTGGAGGAACCCAGCTACAGTGGAAATCCTGGCTCATGCCTCTCTTCATTGGTGTCACATTCACTACTGTAGCCCTATTCCAGGGACCACTTCTGGTCTGGCCAGTCCCCAAACACTTCAGGAGATAGGAAAGGTGACTGTCCTTTAATTCTGCCAGCTTCCAGCCATTGTTGCTTAGAATTCCTCATCTACCCAAATGCCAAAGCCACCAGCAACCCTGCCAATAAGCATACAGGGACTCAAGGCTTCCAAAACCTGACCCAGGGCCTCATAACTGCAGTGGAAAAACACACATAGGCTTGCTGTGCACCACCAGGGAAGAGTGACTAATTTGCTTTATTACATTGTTTTTCCCTTTCTTCTGTTTCCTCTGCCTCAGGAAAGTTTTGTTTTTCTGGTTGACGCCAAGGCTCTGAGACCTTCCCCACTTTTCTCCATCGCGTCCAGAGCTATGTACCTGAACCTCTCCCTGGCGACTGCACCCACATGATTTTCTGGAGTGGCGCCATTGCTACCCCGTATCGGTTAATGTCCTAATGTGGACATTTGTTCTGATCACATGTAACAATCGGAGAGATAGACGCCTCAGGGCACGCAATTCAACTCCTGTTCTGAAGCACCGTGAGCTGAAGAGAGGCACAGACGCTTTGCAAAAGGCACTGGCACAAAACCCCTAGGGCGTGAGGGTCTTGGCTGCTGTCATTCCTTCTGACTTGTTATGAGGAAGGCACAACTTTGAGCAAGTCCTGGAAGCTGAACATTTGCAGAAATCCACCAGGTAAAGTGCTAGGAAAGCACTATGTAGTGCCCCAGACAACAGCAGCCCCAGAGCGCAGGCCTGTGCAAATTCATTGCCCAGGGCACCCTGTTGAATACAACCGCACCCAGCAGTCCCAGGAAGGCAGTGGACTATTTCACAGTGGAGAACCTGGGGGCTATGTGAGAGGGAGAATTTGCCCAGCGTGGAAGCACTAGCAGAGGGCAGGAGGGCTCTGTTAGGATCCTGCCACGCGAGGCATGCTCCGGGGCAGCTCCCTGCAACAGCACATGTGTCCAGCACACTGCCATGGGTTCACTTGGGGCCCAGGAGTCTGGCAAGCTGAGTACAACTGAAGGCCACAGGAACCCCAAGAGAATCATCCAGCAAGGCTCTGGTAGGACAGAAGGGGCAACTGCATGGTCCCAAGTGGGACAGCCTGGCATCTTACTCTGCTCCTTGTGCTACCATGCACAAATCCCTGTCTGGGATCAGTTCCACAGTCACTGCATTCCCGGGATGCTGGTCCATTCCCAGACTGACCCCAACACTGACCCCGCAGTGGTCTCCCCTTATAAGGCTGCACCTGATCTCCTCACGCCTGCCTGGGACCCCGTGTTCCTGTCTTTCTGCTTTTTCATCCCAAGCAAACCCGTGTGCGTCTTCCTTGGGAGTCCAGGCAGAAGTCCTGGGCCAGGACTCAGCCCCATTTTCAGCACCCCGCGGCACTCCCTACTCCTCCCCTCCTGCCTGCCCAGCCCTGTCTCTCTCTCTCACCCACCCACTTGTAGGCTGCCGCCCATTCCACGTCCCAGAGGATGCCAGGGAGGCCCACGAGGGACTGGGTCAGGGTGCATTCGGAACCACAGGCCCTGAGTGGGGTTGGAAGAGCCCTCAGTCGCCACCACCTCAGGCCTGGCTGCTGGTGCTGCTTCCCAGCCCGGAAACTTCCTGAGATCCCCGAGATGCAGAGCAGCTGCAGAGGGCCAGCCTCCCGCGCCCTCTCTGGCTGGCTCGCGCCCCGCCTGCCCGCCGCAGCGCTCGGAGGGTTAACCAGGCAGCTGCAGGCCGGGTAGGCAAGGCTTGAACTTTTCTCTGCGCTCCGCTCCCGCCCGCCCCAGAAGGCAATGCAGCCTGAATCAGGCAGGAGCTTCAGCTGGCTGGACAATGGGGGGCGGGGGGCTGGGGCCTGCGCCCTGCGCCCTGGCGGGGACTGAGATCTGGTCCTTCCGGGCTCGGGCTCGGGCTCGGGCTCGGGCTCGGAGCTGGGAGAGAGGACCCAGTAGGCACGGCCGGCGCTGGAGCCTTTGAGCGACAGCGGCAGCCGGCTGCGGTGCTTGGCTGGCCGGAGGCGCCTTCCTGCTCGCCGCGGAGCTGGGCGAGTGGGCGCGCGCCCCGGGAGGTCCGCGGTGCCAGCACAGCCTCTCCAACCCCGCAGCCCGTGATCCTCGGCGCTTCCGCCACTGGGCAAGGGGAAGCAGGACTCCATGGAGTCGCCGCCAGCTGAGTGTCGCCGATGCACGAATCTCGGATGAGGCAAACCAAAGTTACCCTACTTGATATAGGCGAGGATATGACCCTGCTCGCCAAAAAAGGGGTCTCAGGAGCTCTCTCTTCCCCCAGAATGTACACACGTACACCACACACACACACACGCCCAAGTGGGAAGCTGGGGACCCTCGGATCCACTGGGCTGCAGCTGACCTCCCTCCGGAATCCGGGTCTGTCCTCGCTGCCGCGCCCGGCGGAGCCCCGAGCCCCGAGCCCCGAGCCCCGAGCCCCGAGCCCCAGCCCCTCCGAATGCCTCTCCTCTTAGCGGGCTGAGGATCCGAACACAGAAACCGGGTGCGGAGCGCTCCCGGCGGCTCCTCTTCCCTACCTGGGACAGCAGAACGCACAGGACGAGCGGAGTTCTCGGCTGCATTTTGCCCGACTAGAAGCGCCCGGCGGCGTTTTCATTCATGCACGCGGCTGCACTGAGCATATTTTCCGTGGGAGCCAAGCTTTGAGGAGAGGCTCTGCCTCGCCAGCCAGCCAACTTCCCAAATAGATCAGCGGCAGCATCACGAAAGCATTGGGTAGAGGCTGATGACCAGGACCAATGGCTTTACAAGACGGATTCCTTCATAAAGCTCCCTCGCTTTGCATGGCAGATACGGGCGAGCGGCGCAGAGAGCTAACGCTGAGCAGGAGGCAACGTTTGCTTTTTTTTTTTTTTGACTGTTGGGGCCCAGCCTCACAAATCAGGCTGGGCAATGCCCGCCGATTTCACTTTCCAGAGAAGAGAATTGCATGGAATTGCACCAGGGACAGCAGCCACTTGCAGCCTAGTGCAAAGAGATTCTCTTTATTAAAATGTTAATAAGATCCACTTTATTTCCAATAAATCAAATCAAATGACCCCAGCAGTTTCTGCGCTTTCTACGCCGGGAAGGCCTTGGCAACGGACTTCTCTTTCCTTTTTTCTCTACCCACCCCCCTTGCGGCCCAAGTAGTGATAGTGTTTGGTCTCTCCGTCATCTCACAGATCACAAAGAGGACAGATCAATTCCAGCTTGCAGGGGAAATCCATCAAAAGGCAGGAGATTTTATTAACTGCTCAGGTGAGAGTCTGACTGGCCACTGCTCCTTAAATGTGCAGGGGCACCAAAGCTGGGGCCACGACCGGAGAAGGAAAGCCAACAAATGTTTTTCCTAGGGAGATGTGAGCGGTCACAAGCTCTGAGCCTCCCCATGAATGCAGGACAGCAGTGGGTACACTGCTCAAGGAATTCTACAAGCACTGTTCTTTGGGCATGACAGTGACAGGGCTACTGGGCCTGCATTCTTTGGTAGTAATCTAAGAATGAGTGATAAAGATGTGACTATTTTCCTTCAGCTTCCTTCTAAAAAGGGTTTAAAAGAAGGTCTAGGCTAGAGGAAAAGTTTAGGATATAAGTGCTGACTCCTCCTGTAAAGGATTTGCTCTGATTGAGCTTCCCGGTGGCCAAAGCAATAGATGAAACAGGTCACTTACACGGCTCTTGTTATAGAACTACATGTACAATGCCATCCGACATAATTCCTCCAGCACTAAATACTGGAATAAATGGATTATGTGACATACATTGTGGCAGGATATTGAGCAATGGATCATGCTGAGATCCCGGGGACTGGGGCTGTATGCCAGCCTCTGGCACATGGCCTAGAACATGGAGACAGTGATTAGTGTGTGTCGAGGGACTAGATGACTAGACTTAATCAAGAAGCAGCAGAAGGTGAGGGGGCAACGAGTCTGGAGCTCCCCGCCCACAGTGCTGCCTCTCACTAGAGAGCTACTCCAACCCCTGTGCCTCAATTTGTCCACTGGTGAAGTGGAAGTGCAAACTGCACTCAGCCCCTCAGCTTGTGGGGACCAAACAGCACACCCCATGAGTGCCGATGGGCTTGCTCATTAGCAGTCCTTCACCATCTGCTGCTTGGTCGCAGTGTCACCTCACAGGGCCCCCGTCTTGGACAGAAATGCAGCCCCATATGATGAGTGACTGCTTTAGCCGTCGCAGAGCCAGTGGAGAGCAACGCTGGCAAAATAACGCCCAGAAGAGACTGCGAAAGGTGGGCGCTGCTGCTGCCTTGTTCTTTTCCTTGCAGAAGTGGGGCCATCGGCCCCGGCCTCTCGGAAACATGGTCTTGGCAGAGGAGGCGACTGGTGATGGGCGACAGCTCGGAGCCCTGTGTTTGGATGCCCATGTTGCCCAGTGATCGGAGGAAAGCAGGATGCTGGGGAGTCAAACAGGCTTCCAATCATGCTATCCTGATATAGCCTTACTTCTTCTCTCTTCTAGTGAAGGAGCCACCTTTCCAGTAAGGGATGGTTGAAGTGATGCCAGGCATCAGCAGACACAACAGGGCAGAGAGCAGAGGGCTGCTCGGGAGGCAGGCAGCGCCAAGGCTGGGCCGGCCAAATTTCCGTAAGCAGTGGGAGAAGGGCTTCTCGGAGCAGGGGCACCCAAGCCCACACTCACGGCTAGGGCAGTCATGGGCTGATGATTCTGCTGGACCTTCCATGGTCCCCCATTCCATTATCTCTAACCATATACTTATAGTTCTCCCTTCTAGGAAAAGGTTGGGGTTATAAGAGCCCACCATAGGGTGGAATCCTATGACTAGCTACAGCCAAAGAGCTGTAAGCAAAGTGACACCTTTTCAAGGCTGGAGCATTTCACTGCCAGTGTGAGACAGGCTGGTTTCCCTGGCAATAGGCACCAAGGTGCAGATTTGCGCAGGTAGCTTTGTGGGGAACGAGGCTGCTCTCAGGAGCTACGCTTGCCCGAGCGCAAGAGAGGCTCGCTGGCAGAGAGAAATGTGGACACACACCAGCGCTAGGAGAAGCCCAGCCGGCCCGGGAGCTGGGGAGTCACCAAGAATTCTCCTCACCAGCGTCCTGATTTAGTGGCAGGCAGAGAAGCGCGAGGCCAAGCACATCTGATTCCAGGTGGGCACGTCCGAGGCCAGACCTACCCCATCCTGGCAGATACAGACAAGGTTCTCAGAGCTGGAAGGACTTGGTGTCAGGAGTCTGTCTAGGACTGGAGGCACACCTCGGTAAGCCCACGTGGTCTCAAGCCCTCCAAGTCCACTAATGAGACCCAGACCTAAATCTCTTAACTCCGCTTCCATTGAGCAAGTTGCTTTTACTCCAAAGCCTCAGTTTCTCGCCAATAAAATGGGATCGCTAACATGCTAACCTGCCAAGGACACTTAGAAAATTGGTGCTACTTTTCTCCTCTACCCCCCTTCCCCTCTAGATTCACAGAACTGGCATTTTGCCAGAGGGTGTGACATTGGATTTTATTTATTTATTCATTTATTTATTTTTGTGGCCAGCTCAGCCCACCCTGGGGACAGGGCTGGCATGGCATGTGGTGCCCAGGATTGAACTGCAGTCCCTGGGCCTGCCTAAGCTTGCCTAAGCAGACACTTTAGATTACTGAGCTATCTCACTGGTCCCATGACATTGAATTTTGATTAAAAAAAAAAAAAAACAGGAGAAAAAAATGATTTCATTCCAATAACAAAAGACTCCTAAAGGGTAAGTTCATTTATGTGTTGCCTGATTTTTCCTTCCATCTCCCAGTGGGGGTCTTTTGTCTGATGGATTAATCAGTGGTGGCAAATAAATACTGAATCCAAAAGCCATTCTCTACCTGTCCCCACCCCTTATCCCCCCACACCAGTCCAGATCAAGGCTAGCCACTTTCATAGCCATGGTTCCCTGAGAATCTGTCCATGCCTTCTCCGCAGTGCAGGTTCACAGCCTTTGCCCGTCCCTGCTGCCTGGCCTCGGAGGCGGCAGACAACCCAACAGCCACCAGCTGCCCCCTATGAGCACCGGCAGGCAAAACCGTTTTCTCTCCTGGGCTGATGGAGACGAGGGCCTTCCAAAGCTTGTGGAAGTGGCTGGGGGGGGGGGGTTGCATCTGCCGGTGTGCACGTGGGCAAGCACGCGGGTGTGTATAGCCAGGGCCTCTGACTATGGCAGCCTGTTGCAGGCACCATGGTGCTGTGGTGAGAATTTGCCTAAAGCAGTAACAAACCAGACACGTACCCTCAAGAACCAGGACAGCTGCCAGGTATGCCTGGAGGCCACTGTAACAGGGGCATCCTTAGGTGGTGAGAAAGGAAGTCCATGCCACACAGCAAACAGCATACCTTAGGGGGTTTTTTTTTTTTTCACTCTTCAAAAATATTTTTATTTAAAGAAATGCTAAGATAATAGCCTAATGGAGTGCTTCTATTTCTCCCAATGTCCCCTGTCCTAATTCTGAGTCGTACACTTGCCTGTGCAAAACCTGCATGTTCACCGTGACTCTCCACTGGTGAAAACTCTCCAGCGGCTCTGTATCATGACTTGGACAAAATCTGAACTCTGTATTCACATTTATGTTGTTGCTAGTCTGACTTCAACCTGCATTCCCAACACCACCTCTTAATGCCGTAATGCTCCCCCAGGGCACTCTGCTATAGCCATGTGAGTCTAATCCCCGATTCCTAAAATCCCTAAAACTTTTCTTTTTTTATCAATTTTATTGAGAAACAAATAGCAATGAGACAGTTTCAAAACAGGTTAGTAGTTTAGCGTACCTTAGTACTTACAGCACAGCCCTCACAGGACCAATACCACGTCCTGGGTCTCCCTGGTCACTGAAGTGCAGGCCAATGGCAACATCCATCCCCGCTCATTGGTAAAGCCTGAGGCTGCTCTCTGTGTCTGCGTAGCTCTCTGTTCTAGGGTCTGACACCGAATGCATGTCTGGCACCACTGTCTCGGCTCGTCACTCCCACCTGTGTGTACACACTCACGCTTGGCCTTGAGAGGACTCCTGTGACTGAGGAACAAGGAACAAGCCATGGCGTGCACTAGGAAGCCCAAGGTGTCAAGGACACATCTGCTTTTTGCTCTCACTAGGATCTCACCAGACCTTGAAAAGGATATCTGTGAGTGAGCTTGGCAGTTCTTAGAGAGAGGAACCCCAACCCAGGACCCCTGAGCCAACCCAGCAGGGCCCTGCACAGGGCAGCCGGCCACACATACATAAGCTAAGAGTGCGCTGTTGCTGTAAGTCTTGGGGCAGCTTGTTATGCACCAACAGCCAACCGGGAGATACACTAGTGGGCTCGCTCGGTCCCCTCTGCTGGAAGATGAACCGCATTTCTGTCTTTCACAGCTGGAAACCCAGCCTTTAGGACAGGGTCTGCAGTGTGGCAGGTGATCAGAGAGCCTGCGGAGAGGGAGGGCGGATGGGGTCTATGCTGAAAACCCTCAGCCTCAGCCTTCTGCCAGGCTAGGTCTTCTCAGCATGCTCTCAGCCTGGGACCCGACGCAGCACAGAGCAACTGCAGAGGCTTAGAGAGCATTTGTAGAGAACTCTCGGGACACCAGTCTTCAGAATTTCCCCAGTGTCCAAAGAGCTTGCTCATCCAGAAGACAGACAGAAAACACACCCTTCTCTTTTTAGGTTCTGTCCAAATATCATGTTTAACACAGTGAAGACAAAGTCAGCAGTAAGTTTTAAGCCATTTCTATTAAATTGGCCTTTCTTGAGGCTTTGGTCCCTCCTTAAGCAGTGAAATTGGACATTCAGATAGCAATTTTATCTGTGAATGAGAAGCTGTTAAA